CTGGGCCCCCCCAGCGGCGCCTCCAGCGCCCTTGGTGCGCTCCGCGCGACAGGGAGGGGGGTCCGGCGCGGATCCAAGAAATCCGCGCGGAGTTCCGACAGGTTAGGTTCATGCCTCTGTTGTACTGCTTCTTGTCTCCACCAACCTCCTCCCCCAGAACGGAGGAGGAGGAGGCGCAGGAGGAGGAGGAGGAGGAGGAGGAGAGCCTTCACTAGTTTCGGGCCAGCTTGGAGAGCCAGCACCTCCCCCTCAGCGCGGCAACGTGGGTCTGGGGTCGGGGCCCGCTTGCTCCGAGCAGGTTCTGGGCGGGTGCGGGGCGGGTTGGCGGCTTGCTGCGCGTCGATCGGCTGAAGTGAGCCCCGGAATAGTCAAGGCACCCCCCCGTCCTCTCCTGGGGCGGCGACCAGCGCTCCGGGCGGCGAAAGATGCCTGATGATTCATTCCCCCCAGATGTCTGATGGTTCCCCCAAGAGATGTTCGTCGTCGTCATCGTCGTCGTCGATGTCGTCGTTGTCGCGGGGGGCATGCCCCCTATTTTTCTGACACTCACTTGAGGTAGTCGTCGTCGTTATCGTCGTCGTCTCCGGGCCTTCGAACGCTCTTGCAAGGGTTTTCGATGGCCAGCAAGGTCCTTTCAAGGAATCTCCGCAAGGTGTTTGCAAGGGCTCTCAACGTCCTTACAAGGAAGCTCCGCAACATTCTCTGAACCCCTGCCAGCGATTCACTGGGGGCTTCGCAGGGCTTTCAACAGCCTTGCGAGGAAGCTCCGCAAGGTTCCCTGAGCTCCTGCCAGGGAGCTTCCAATGCCTTTATAACCCGCTGGTGTATCGTTTCTGGCGCCCTGGGAAGCGGAAAACCAGGCCGTGGATGCGGTTTCCAGCGCTTTAGGTAAGGGTGAACCAGGCCGTGGATACCGTTTGCAGCGCCCTGGGAACCGGTAAACCAAGTCGTAGATGCGGTGTCCAGCGCCTCGTGAAGAGGTGAACCAGGCCGTGGATATTGCTTTCAGCGCCTTGAGAAGGGGTAATCCCAAGCCCGAAATGCTTGAATGAGGACTTGGGGCTCCTGGGACTCGGGGCCAAAAATGCTGGAAACAGGATTTGGGGCTCAGAACGTCTGAAACGGGCCTGGGGCCCAGAATGTCTGAAATAGGACCTGGGGTTTCGGAACGCCTGAAACAAAACCTTGGGCCCAGCATGCCTGAACCGGGACCTGGGGTCCAAGATGCTAGAAACAGAACAAGGGGCCAAGAATGCTTGAAACGGGACCTGCGACCCAGAATGCCAGAGACGGGACCTGGGGCCCACAACGCCTAAACCGGGACCTGGGGCTTGTAGAATGCTTGAAACGCACTTTGGGACCCAGAATGCCTGAAACGCGACCTGGGCCCAGAATGCGTAAAACGGAGCCTGGGGCCCGGAAAGCCTGAAACGGATACCCTGCCCCGATTCCGGATTCCGGATTCTCCAGCTTTGGCCCCATGCAGCCTTGGCCCAGGTTCCAGCCTCGGCTGAGGCTCGGGCTCCTCTGGCCCTGGCGTGGACCCTGGCCCCGGCGTGGTCCCCAGCTCCAGCTCCGGTCTGGCCTCGTCCCCAGCCCCTTGCCCCTGCAGGTCGCTCCAGCTCTGGCCGCGGCCCAGGGCTCGGCCCTGGCCCCGGCTCAGGTCCAGCTTTGGCCTGGCCGCGGCAGCGGCCCGCCCCGTCCCCGCGGCCTCGGCTCCGGCTCCAGCCCGGCTCCAGCTGGTCCCGGCTCCAGCTTTGGCCGCTGCCCCGTCCTCGGCCCCAGCTCCGGCTTCGGCACCGGCTCCGACCTCGTCCGGCTTTGGCACTGGCATCACTATTCTTCGCCCGACTTCGCCAGCGATCTTGGGCCGCCGAAGAATGTTTTATCTGGCGGCGCCGCGCAGATGGGGGGTGGGGAGGGGGGAAGGCTTCTTCGAAGGAGGCTGCTTCCCATATACAGTCAACGCGCCTAGTAAGGACGCGCGCCTTCATCTAGGGTACCCTTGTGTCCTTGCCTCTGAGGCCCGTCCTTGCCATTATCACTGGTCGCCCGCCGCCCTAAAAAAATCCAACTTCGGCCTCCAAGGGTCTTGCGTCCTTATCACCCGTCCTTAATACACGTTTTGACTGTAGAAGGCGGCGGTCCCACATCTAGGGACGAGGCCCGCGCCTTCTAAGTAGCAGGAGTGGTTCTAAGAAGCCTCCCCCATTCCCCCTACACCCCTCTGCGCGTGGCCGTTTCATTCTTCGCCCCAAGAAAGGTGTTTCTTGAGCGTACGTTGCGCGTTGCTTCGCATCGCGCGCACAGAGGGCTGGGCGGACGACAACTGGTACGGGGCTGTGATAGGAGTAGGTTCGGAAGCGGCCATCGAAGACCACACGTCAGTCGTCAAAAGTAGGTATTTCTGGAACTCTTGATCCCAATCTACTTCAAGCGCCTTCCCATCTCAAGAATCTCACGAATTCTTTTGGCGGGCCCAAACCCAATCTACTCGGCCCACCTTTCTACATCATTATTCCAACTACTTTTTCCGACCGGCGGGTGCGCGTGGTCTTTGCGGCAGAGACGGTCGAGCACGCCCTGTTAGCGATTGGCGTATTGCTTCGTGCTCCTCTCCCACTCCTCGGGAGTGCTGCGGCCGCCGCGGGCAGCGTGGCACGCGCACGCGGGCACGTCCGGCCCGTGAGGAGAGGGGGAGGGGCGCAGGGGGACGGAGGGGGAGGCTGGCGACAGGAGGAAGAGAAGAGAGAAGGGCGCGAGCCAAACAGCGGTTTTGCGATTTCGTGGACCGTTTTCGTTTGGGCCTCGGTTTGCAGCCAAGGCGGAAGGAAGGCAGAACGAGGGAAAACGAAAACATTACGAAAACGGTGAAGTATGTGATCGTGTTCTTATTCCTTGCTCTGCCGATCGGAACGGGCACTCGCACCCCCCTCCCCCCCCCTGTAGAGTGTAGAGTAGATCTTGGCTGTGTTTGACGCCTGCTTCAAGCAGGTGGAGTGTCCCCAATAGGACGCACTGTCTCAAACAGACGCATCAAGCAGAGGTCCGGAGCCAGACCCCCGCCCCCGATCCCCCCCCCTTCCGCCCAGCGTCGTAACGCCGAATTAGAAAACGCTCACAATGTTTAGCTCGCGCCCTGGAAGGGGGTGAAGGGGGGTGGGTGGGGGGACAAACGATGGCAAGGGCAGGAGAAGGGGGAGCGAGAGGAGTTGAGGTTACTGGTAGGTGGAGGGCGGTTTCGGGAAGAGGAGGAGGAGGAAGGGGAAGAGCTCGAGCAGGAGGCAGGAGACGACAACGAGAACGAGCACGAGGATTCGGAGGAGGAGGAGGCGGAGGAGGAGGAGGAGGAGGACGAGGAGAAGGGGGAGGAGGCAGGGGAAAAGAAGGGGGAAGGAGGAGGAGGAGGAGGAGGAGGAGGAGGAGGAGGAGGAGGAGGAGGAGGAGGGGGAGGGGGAGGGGGAAGGATGAGAAGGAGCAGGAGGTCGACAGCGCTGGTGAAGACTGTGAGGGGGTGGACGGGGCAGGATGTGGAGGGGGAAGGGGAGTGGCAGAATCATCCTATCCCTATTCCATTCCTCCCTCCTCTTCCTTCAGTGGGGGCACGCATCAAGAAGCCAAAGCTTTTCGTCAGGGTACTCTGGGTTTCTTCGCTCCGCGCGCTGCGCGGTGACTTCCCACAGCCGTCGAAGAAGTTGCTGCGTCCAGGGTGCTCCGGGTTTCCCCGCATGTGCACCTCGCGCGCGGGTTTGCAGGGTTGGGTGTCTTGCGAGGTTCTTTTGCGGCCGCGCCCGCAATAGATTCTCTTCCTCCCTCCTCTTCCGACCCTCCCGACCCCCGAAAACCCGAGGAAATCCGAAGGCCGTGCTGCTTCTTACGGCAAAAGATGCTGCTCGTCCACCCCCTCTCCGGGCTCCGACGCCTCGAGCTGTTCGGAGTCGCCGTCTCCCAGGGCTCTCGACCCTCTTCCCGGGCCAGCTTATCATGGAGATTCTTTCGCTGCCGTTCCTGAGCCGCCGAAGCGGCCCCACCAGCACGGCGGACAGCACCGCGACGTGTTCGAGTCTCTAGAGGCCTGAGTCTTGCTCCGCCTCCCCCCGATCGGTGCTTGTCCTCTGCCTCCTGCTTTTTGTTCCCTCACCTATGGAGGGGGAGTAGAGGAGAGGACGGGAAGGTCCTGCTCCGAAAATATCAGGAGGGGAAAAAACACAGACACAATTAATCGTCCACTCCCACGAAAATAGGCGAAAATATGGGAAGTGGGGGGGACAAAAAACCCAGAAAATGTAGGAACATAGGGGGAATCTTCTTATTTGTGTGCATTTGTTTGTGTGTCCCAGGGCCCCTTTAAAACAACCAGTTAACGCCGAAAGAGCATCCTTCTTCTTCTCCCCCCCCCTCTCCTTGTGGAGGGAGAGGGCGGGGGCCTTCCTCTGCTCCCGGCACCGCCGATCGGGCCTCCCGGCGCCGAGGTTCGCGCAGCTCTTCCGGGGCCAGCTCCGCCGCTGCAGTCGAGAGGACCTTTGCACAGTCGATACAGTCGGGGCCCTGAAGAAGGAACCCTTTTCGTTGGGGAGGGGCTCCGCGTTCCTTAAGTGTTTCACAGTTTGCCTCTGGTTTCCCTTCTGTTTTCGATCGGAAATCGAAGTTTAACTTATGGAAAAAAGGGGCCTCGTTCCTTGTTTAGGGTTCCTTAGGTCAACGCCCCGACTGTAGGTTGCCTTGTCTGCCTCCCAGCGACTCTAAAACGGCGCGAAGATCGGGACAAAATCGGATCGGGATAGCTCGGGATCTCTGAGAATCGGCGGGTTTGGAGGATGTATTGGGCGCCGCGGCCGCTCCAGAGCGTTCCGGAACGCTCTGAGAGCGCTCCGGAACGCTCTGGAGCGATTTATCCCGATCCTAGCCCTGTTTTATTGGGTTGCCTTGTCTGCCTCCCAGACCTCTGGCGACTCGACTCAGAACAATCGCGCCCAAGGAATTTGGGAATTTTCGGCGTCGGGGGGGGGGGGGACGTTTCGGGGCCGTGAGGGTACCACCTGGGATGGGTTCGAAACCTCCGAGGGGCGGCAAATAAAAAAACGAGTCGTCGGAGGGCTGTCTTACTAATTACATGTTTCTCGTGCTTCCCATCTTCGTCGTATTCATGGTGGTGTGCCTCACATCCTGATCCTCCCTCTCGTCCCAGTATTATTGTTGCATCCTCGTAACTCGTTCTCGTACGCATCATGCCCGCATTGTGCTTGAGCGTCTGAAGGTGTTGCGGTCTCTTCATGCGTTCGTGTAGGCTGCTGACACGACAGGGCCACCCGTGGTGAAGGGCTAATGACGCGGCAACGCTCTGACTCCTCCATCGTGCATTCCTGTGGAGGAGGAGAAGGAGGAAAAGAAGGAGGAGGAGGAGGAGGAGGAGGAACATGAGGAGGTGGATTTGCGCGGCAGCGCAACTGAATTTGGAGCTTCTGGGGACGTCTGGTGGTCAGGGTCCAGGGCAGCACGACAATGTACCACTTCCTCCCGCCCGCACGTACTCCTAGTCATCAGTAGTACGATTCGTGCCATCGTTGTTATTATTCCTCCTCCTCCTCCTCCTCCTCCTCCTCCTCCTCCTCCTCCTCCTCCTCCTCGTCGTTTTCCTCTGTCTGAAGAGATGTGCACATTAAATCCATGACAGCCCTGCCACGAACAGACAGTTGCTCTCGCGGTTTGCTTCTGAGCACGGTCCACTCCTGCGGAACAAACGCAGCAAAGCTGAGACTCATTGTCGTATTCATTCCTTTCTCCGCGCTTGCGTAAGCGGCGAAGACAACAAGGATATTGTAAAAAGGAGAGTGGAGGAGGAGGAGGGGGGAGTAGGAGAGGAGGAGGTGGAGGAGGAGGAGAAGGAGGATTTTACTTTATTGCTTCCACCACATAATCCACCAGGGAGTGGCAGTTCCCAACCCCCCCTACCAGAAAAATCCGAATCCCGTTGAAGAGGGGGTTGGGAGGGTTCTCCCCCCACACACGCAAGCAAAACAAAACTTAGGAGGCAGGATGGTGTTCGTTCAAGGTTACGGGGATATTCCGTCCCGGGCCTCTCCAAAAACTTGTTTCAGGGAGTGTTTGGGGGGGTTAGGTAGGTGTTCCTCCCTGGACCCCGCCAAAGCAACAAACAAAAAACCTTGGGGGCGTTCAGACCCCCCAAAACCCTCCTCATGGTTTCTTGAGGGGGATGGGGGTTAGGCTGTTTTCTCCCACGGACCCCTTTTTTTCAAAAACGCTATTCAGATCGGTTCGTGGTGGTGTTAGGAATTTTTGCCCCCCCGAAACCCCCAAAAGCCCTCTCAGGATTGGTTTTGGGCGGTTAGGGGGGCTTCCCCCCGAACACCCCCCAAGACCACCTTTGAGGACGGTTTTTGGGGTGGTTTGGGGGGTCTCCCCCTTGTGCCGTGCGCTACCCTCTGCTAGTCGAGAGCCCTCCCCAAGCCGATCCAAGAAGCATGCTTGGTACTAGGCGTGCTCCTCTGCTGTGCATCACCCGCTGCTCGACGAGGCCCCTCCCCAAGCTGATTCAAAAAGCCTCCTTGGTACTAGACGTGCCCCTCTTCGAAGCGCCACCCTCTGTTAGACGAGGCCCCTCTCCAAGCTGATCCAAAAAGCATCCTTGGTGCTAGACGTTCCCCTGTGCCTTGCCCCAACCGCTGCTAAACGAAGCCCCTCTCCAAGCTGATCCAAAAAGCATCCTTGGTGCTAGGTGCGCCCCTCTGCTGTGCACCGCTCACTGCTAGACGAGGCCCCTCCCAAAGCTGATTCAAAAAAACCTCCTTGGTAGTAGACGTGCTCCTCTGCTGTGCACCGCCCGCTGCTAGATGAGGCCCCTCCCAAGCTGATTCAAAAAGCCCTTTTAGTACTAGACGTGCCCCTGTGTTGTGCGCCACCGGCCGCTAGACGAGGCCCCTCCCCAAGCTTCCCCGAGGCTTTCGTAGGCTCCCAAAAGCGTATAGGTTTTTGGAGGGGTTCAGGGGGACTACCTCCCTAACCCCCCAAACATTATCCCTGAGGGGGGCAGGGGTCTGGGATGAAAACACCCCTAACCTGACCCCCCCAAAACAACTCCACTCCGGAAGGCTTTTTTGGGAGGGTCCTGCGGGGAAAACCCCTTCACTCCCCGAAAACCTCCTGAGAACAGGTTTTGGAATTGTCCTGGGGGGGGCCCTCCCACCCAAAGAAGATTTTTGGGGGGGTCAGGGGGGGAACCCTCCGAAACCACCAGACAAGATTTGTTGGTAAGTTTTTGAGGGGATCCGGGAAGAGGAAACCTCTTGAACCCCTCCACCCCCCCCTGTTCCCGGGGGGAACTTCATGACCATCCCCCTCTAAGGGGGCTGATGGTTTTCCCCCAACCATCCTGTGATGTTGGGTCCTCGCTTTGAAAGAGAAGTCCTGCCACCCCCGCGTGGTAGTTAGGCCTGGCACATTTTGGCCACTTGAGTGAGGCAGCCTCTGCAGAGAGGCTATCCTGTGCTGGAGCCAAATCCAGGCGGACACCCTTTTTTCAGACTTGTCAGTGCCATGTCTCCGAGCGCCGCTGCTGCCCCAGTGGACGATCCCATCTTTGTGCAGCATGAGAGCGACGAGGTGGAGTCTCTTCCCAAGCAGGCGCGGACCGCGGCTACTGCCGCCGCAGCCCAGGACGGCGCCGACTGGCTCAGCAGGTGCATGCTGAGCGAGATCAAAGACAACATGCTCACCAAGAATGGCATGAGCGAGGTGAAGCACCAGATCGCCACGCACACGCAGCAGATCGACGATCTCGCCCTGCGCATGCGCAACATAGAGGAGAGAGCGAGCAGCAGCCTCTCGGTCGCGCAGGTGGCGGCCAAGGCTAAACTCGACAGCCGGCTGGATCGTCAAATCGCTGCTGTTCGTGAGCAGGCGGAGCGCACGCATCAAGAGGTTCAACGGCTTTGCGCTTTCTCGTCGACTGGGACGCCCTCGGTGGCCTCTGACAACAGTGGACGTGACAATGAACATGGGCGAAAAAAGTGATAACAGGCGTAATTATATGTGTCGCTGGGTTTCTGAGGCCGTGCCCTCACCGCCAATGCCAAGGCCCTCCTCTCCAGGCATGCAGTTGCTGGCACGACGGCGACGCTAAAGGCGAACAACTTCCAGACTGCATACAGCATCATGTCCGAGACCACAGAGGCTGCCAAGGAATTCCGCACACGTGCCCGCAAGCTTGGTGTTTCCTGGGAGGACTGCAAAACTAAGCAGGAGGTGCAGCTCAAGATCAGGATGGGCGCGTTGCCCGCCATTCGGAAGGTGGATCGCAATGTGGAGACTCTGCTGTCTACAGTACTTGATGTAGCCCGTGCAAGTGGCACCTGGCGTGAAGAATACACTTTGGGCTCTCAGCCGCATCGCGGTGCGCTCTGGCTGGCGCGCCAGGACGAGGGTGAGCAGCTCTTCGAGGTGGCGGGGCAGGACACGCTGCAGCGCGATGTTGAGCCCAACTCTGAGGTTCTGCGCAAGCTCGGATTCACGGCTGAGGTCATCCAGCAGACGGCGGGCAGCATCCCCCTCTAGGACGCAGCCCAGCCATCTCGACGAGCTTACAGTCCTGGTCTGCATGCTGATCGCACGTGCGATGATGGCACCTCGTCAGACGGCGCGGGTGCCGGCAAATGTTCGGGCGCCCAGGCGCGCGCGTTGATCTCCTCCCCGCGCTAAACGAATTCGCGCGGCAGGACCTGCCCCGCGGAAGCGGCGAGCATCAGCCTCGCCTTCACGCGGCGCTCGTTCAACCTCCCCCCTTCCTCGGGCAGCGCACCCTTCGCGTCTGACCGTTCCTGCTCGTCTTCTGACGACTGGCTAGGCTTTCCGCCTGGATGCGCCCCCTGTCTCCCGATTCAGCGGTTCTCGCTGTTTCTCGGCACGCGAGGTTGCCTTGGGGGGCGCAGCGCGCGCCGCCGCGCACTTACCGCGCTAAGATCTGGCAGCCAGTGAACATTATCCAGAATCATGACATAGTCTGCGTTCAGGGAGCCCGTGGCAAGCACGGGTGCTTCCGAACCCTCGAGCGCGATGTTCATCTTTCAGCAGGTTTCGCCACGTTTCTCTACAACCCTCATGCGGGCGGCAGTCTCAGGCATGTGCTTCTTAAGGTTCGTGCCGTCCTTCAGCATGCTCGCGCGCGCGTCGTCACAGCTGGTCGCATTCTTTCGGTCGCCCTCTGCAATGCTACGCATGCCCCCCCCCCCCCCCCCCGCATCGCCGGCATGAATAGTGACCCTGGCCCACGCGCTTGCCAGCGCGAGGAGTAGCTGGCACGAGTGCGCGGCATGCTGCGGTCGCGCGAACAGCGCGCGCTCGCGGTCTGCGGTGGCTTTTACCTTCCCACCAGCGGCGATCGCAGTTGCCCGGTCTCTGGGCGACTTGCCCACCCGACCCACAGCCTCGCGAAATACTTGAGCGCGTCGTTCCCCCTTCTGGCGGAGGTCCAAGCCGACCGCCACCCACAGGGTAGAGGCGATGGAGTCCGGGAAGAAAGGTTCGATTTCATTTTCGAGGCTGGATCGGGCATACACGTCGATTTCCGCTGGTCTGCTGCTGGATCTCGACCCCAGCTCTGGCACGGTAGGGCGCGCTTCCGACGTCGCGCAGCTGCCCGACCACATGCCCGCATCCGTCTCTTCGGCACCTCCTGGGAAGTCTGGGATACGTAGCGCACTGCCCTGGGTCGCCACGCGCAGGATGTTTCCATGGGTTTTGCAAGGAAATCATCGACAGCGGCGGCGATGGATACGAGGATCCGATCGAGCGGGCGGAGGAGGTGAGGGACGCCATCAAATGCGCCGCGACAAGTCCCTGGTCCGACTCGAACGGAAAGGTGCCCAGTCGTTGGCTGAATCTATTTCTGGGGCTCCAGCTGCAACGCGGGCTATTTCGAGCCCGGGGCCCAGGTGCCCTTCGTCGCGCGGCGCGCGCCCGTGGCCTGCCGCGGGCTCCAGCAGTTCTTTAACGGGCCCTTGTGTTCCTACAGCAACTTTGCGGGGTCTCGCATGTTCCTCGCCAGCCTGGAACGTCAGCATATCGACGACCAAATCGATGGAGCCATGACTGGCAATGAAATTCATCTTCAGAAACAGCAAAACGCCCCGGGCACACCACGCGCGCACCGCACAGCTTGGAGCACGAAAGGCCCCGAGAATTCCCTCCAGGCGATCGCTGACACTATGGGCGCGCCTATCTTTGACCCGGATGCGGGGGCGCGCGAACTCGCACGCCACTTGGGTGCCGAGCACAGCGCCGTGGACATTGACGCAAGTGCTTTCGAAGAGCTGTTCGGGCAGGCCCCCTGAGTCCCTCGTTTTTCCTCGTGGACTTCGGAGGAGGAGGAGTTTCTGGAGATGCGCGAAAAGATTCGGGACAGCGCCTCAGGGCCCGACGGCGCCCCTTACTCCGGGTGGGCCAAGGCGGGGAAGGACGGAAGGTGTGCTCTGTGCTAGCGGCATCGGCGCATTCTCGACAGCAGGGAGTGCCACCGCGGTCTGCGGTGGCTTTTACCTTCCCACCAGCGGCGATCGCAGTTGCCCGGTCTCTGGGCGACTTGTCCACCCGACCCACAGCCTCGCGAAATACTTGAGCGCGTCGTTCCCCCTTCTGGCGGAGGTCCAAGCCGACCGCCACCCACAGGGTAGAGGCGATGGAGTCCGGGAAGAAAGGTTCGATTTCATTTTCGAGGCTGGATCGGGCATACACGTCGATTTCCGCTGGTCTGCTGCTGGATCTCGACCCCAGCTCTGGCACGGTAGGGCGCGCTTCCGACGTCGCGCAGCTGCCCGACCACATGCCCGCATCCGTCTCTTCGGCACCTCCTGGGAAGTCTGGGATACGTAGCGCACTGCCCTGGGTCGCCACGCGCAGGATGTTTCCATGGGTTTTGCAAGGAAATCATCGACAGCGGCGGCGATGGATACGAGGATCCGATCGAGCGGGCGGAGGAGGTGAGGGACGCCATCAAATGCGCCGCGAAAAGTCCCTGGTCCGACTCGAACGGAAAGGTGCCCAGTCGTTGGCTGAATCTATTTCTGGGGCTCCAGCTGCAACGCGGGCTATTTCGAGCCCGGGGCCCAGGTGCCCTTCGTCGCGCGGCGCGCGCCCGTGGCCTGCCGCGGGCTCCAGCAGTTCTTTAACGGGCCCTTGTGTTCCTACAGCAACTTTGCGGGGTCTCGCATGTTCCTCGCCAGCCTGGAACGTCAGCATATCGACGACCAAATCGATGGAGCCATGACTGGCAATGAAATTCATCTTCAGAAACAGCAAAACGCCCCGGGCACACCACGCGCGCACCGCACAGCTTGGAGCACGAAAGGCCCCGAGAATTCCCTCCAGGCGATCGCTGACACTATGGGCGCGCCTATCTTTGACCCGGATGCGGGGGCGCGCGAACTCGCGCGCCACTTGGGTGCCGAGCACAGCGCCGTGGACATTGACGCAAGTGCTTTCGAAGAGCTGTTCGGGCAGGCCCCCTGAGTCCCTCGTTTTTCCTCGTGGACTTCGGAGGAGGAGGAGTTTCTGGAGATGCGCGAAAAGATTCGGGACAGCGCCTCAGGGCCCGACGGCGCCCCTTACTCCGGGTGGGCCAAGGCGGGGAAGGACGGAAGGTGTGCTCTGTGCTAGCGGCATCGGCGCATTCTCGACAGCAGGGAGTGCCACCGCGAGTTTAAATACGGCCACAGCGTCTTCTTGGCAAAAGGCGACGACCCGAATGGAAAGAATGTGTGCGCGGGCTCCCCTGGGGCCACTCGCCCTCCCACGACGTCGCGCACTTCCAATGAACTCATCCCGTTCGCACTCATTCGGCCGTTTTCGAGCAAGCGCGGGTTTATCGGATGGGGAGAATGAGCGACAATATTTGCGAAACCGAATATCGTGCTCACTGGCATCTTCAACGCCGGGCGGAGAGCACAAATCGACTGCGACGACAGGCTGAATAGCAAGAGGGGGAAGAAGAGCAAGAGGAGGAAAAAGAGCAGGAGGATGCCCACCGCCCCACCCCAGCCCGTTGTTTGGGGGTGCTGGGGTGAAGGGGGGGGGGGGGGGGCGAGCACTTATGGGTGTCCCTGGGTTTTTTGTGCTTTTCGTCGCCCAGTTGGCCCGCTTTGGACACGAGTCGGACTGATCGTCCCGTCGTCCCGCGGAGAAGGCGCGCGACCGCCGGGGCAGACGCCGCCTCGGGCGCGACGGGTTGCCCGTGGGGTTTGCCCTGGCGCCGCCTGCGCCTCCCTGGGGCGCGGGGCGCAGAGCCCTGCGGTGGCTCAGCCGCGGTGTCGGCGCCGCCCGCCTGGGCGCGCCGAGGAAAAGCGGCGCGGCGACACGAATGTGGGGAGCGAAGAATGACAGAAACGTGCAACACCTCGGAGGTCCGCGCGGGTTTCTCGGATCCGCGCTGGACCCCCCTGGCGGCCTCCGGCGCCGCCCCTGGCTCGCTCCGCGGCCGCCCCTGGCGCGCTTCGCGCGCCAGGGGGGGGGGGGGTCCAGCGCCGATCCGAGAAATCCGCTCGGACCTCCGAGTTTTTGATGTTTATGTCGTTCCTAGTATTGATTGGTCGTCGCGTCGTCCTTCCCACGGGAGGCGGCGCGAGCACGAAGGCGCGCGCCTCGCGCCGAGGGGCTCCCGGGCCGCGCCTGCGCGTGCCCACCGGCCACGGGCGTCCCGCCCATCTGCAGCACAGGTGCCCTCTGGAGAGTTTCTCCAAAGGGCTCAGGCGACCCCTCCTCCTCCCCCTCCCCCTCCTCCTCCTCCTCCTCCTCCTCCTCCTCCTCCTCCTCCTCCTCCTCCTCCTCCTCCTCCTCCTCCTCCTCCTCCTCCTCCTCCCCGTCCTCCTCTCTCCATCCCCCCCTCCTCCCTTCCTCCCTGCCCCCATCACATCTGCATGCCGAACGCCCTCCCGCAGCCAGAGAGCGGCGCGCGCTCGCGCGCGGCCCCATCGGGGGACGCGGCGCGGGCCGCGCTCGAGCGGGGGCGGACCTCCGCGAGAGGCCCGGGCGCGGCGCCGGAGCGAGAGAGCCATCTGGCCCTCTCTCGGGCGTCCCCGGACGTCCGAGGCATGCGCCGCGCCGAAGCAGCACGGCCGGCCCCGCTGCCGGTGCCGCTTCCACCGCTCGCCGCGAGCGAAGCGTGCGCCCCTGCGCGCGCGGGGGCGCGGAGGGCGGCCGAGTCGCGCCTGCTCGCGCGCGGCCCAGCGCCCGACCACTCTGGCGAGTGACAGGCATGCGCCGCGTCGAGGCGGCGGCGCCACACGCAGGCGAAGTCTGCGCGGTGTCGAGGCGGCAGCGACATTTTCGTCCGCTCGCGCGCAGACGAGTGGTCGAGCGGAAAATATGGGCACAGCCCAATAGGGAGAGCCAGGTGCTCCAGAACAGGGGCACGTCGCCGAGGCAAGAGAGGGAGAGAGAGAGAGAGAGAGATTTCGCCCGTTCACGCGCGATGTGCGCCCGGTCTCACTCCTGCCACGCATTTTTCAGTGTCGATGCCCAAACGTCCGTGCTGAAAGGGACAACGCCGACTTTATATGAGTCGTCCATGTCTAGAATGGGACTTCCTGGAAGGGGTCGCTAGATGCTGGTTAGCTGCGGCCTAGTACGAACAAATTAGGAAAAAGGAGTCAGACTATGCAACCGCGTTGAGTTTGCATTTATGAACACACACACAAGCACACACACACAAAGGCACGCATACACATGCTAGCGAATCAGTTCAGCATTTGTTTGAGCAAGCATGCCTACACCAATGATAAGTAGGTGTAGCGCCATCGAACAAAGTTGGCACTGACGCAGCATATACGCATGTTGAACACGCGCATGATGTCATTGGGAGCCATTGGCTTCATCATGCAACCGTATGCTTGAACTTGTCGACCAATGTTGTTTGAACAACATCGACCAGTTAGACCCTGACGCCGCGGTCTGCGTGAGTGTTGTATCGGTTTGTTGAACGGTGGGGGCCTCACACACGAATGTTCCATTACAGCTTAACGGCGATATGCGTGATCAGTTCTGAGCTCCACTCTTTCCTTCGCCTCCACGTCAGGCTCTCCTTCACCTCCCAAGTCTGGCGCTCAATCAGTTTTGTCTGCACAACCTCTCCACGATTCCTGGCTTCCACATTCGCATAGGATTACGCGGGCTTACATGTGGCAGTGGACGCCCAAGCCTTGCTGAGCGTTGGCTTGTCTGCGTACGCCCTGAAGCTGGCGCAGGATCCGAGCAGGCTTAACGGAGGAGGAGGAGGAGGAGGAGGAGGAGGAGGAGGAGGAGGAGGAGGTGAGGGGAGGGGAGGGGAGGAGGAAAAGGAAGGAGGCGAGGCTCACGGGGGGTGGATGAGAAATGTGGGAAGTGAGAAGAGGAAGATGAAGATGATGGTGGGGGGAGGGTTTTCAAGAGGGCAAGAGGGCCTGTCCCCACTGACCCCTCCCCTCCGCCAATCACTTCCATTTTCGCCGCCCACTACCTCCCCCCCCATCATCTCTTCCCCTCTCCCTGCACAGTTGCTAAACAATAACGCACTATGAGTACTGCTTTCCGTTCTCCCCTGAACCTGTCTGGAAGATCTCCAGTCCCTTTTTCCGCGTCTTGCCGCTCACGCACAGGCTCGTGCCGAGCTGTTTTTTGTCACGAGTGAGTGTGTTCGGTGTTTCCCAAATCGTGTTCCCCGCTGCAGCGTGGGCCGTAGGTTCGGATCGGCGCTGTGCTCCCGTCGTCCGGGTGTGCGTTCTCGCCCCAGCGCAGGCCACGTTTTCTACATTCGAGTCCCCTTCGTCATACGTTGCCGCCCCCCTCGTTTCCCATCCTCCGCCTTCTCCTGGTCGTCCTCTTGCTCCTCGCACTCTTTCCGCTCCAGCTGCTGCTTCTGTTAATCGTCCTCGTCCTCCTCTTTCCTCATCCCCCATCCTTTTCCTCCTCCTCCTCCTCCTCCTTGTCTTCCTGCTCATCCCCTTGCCCACCCGCCAC